AATCATGTTACATGATAGGGGCATTTAGAATGGTATATCTGGTTATAGCTATGTCAATCATCTGCTAAAGACTAGTGAACTGATATTGGTGAGTCATGCTCTGTAAGAGTAGCTCGCCTCGTCCAATCATCACCAGCCTTTTGATCGACAGCTATTTGATGAGTGCCCCTATTTTTCCTCCGCGGCGTTGCGATGTCACCAGCATTGCGAGAAACTTTACTATTGATGTTGATGATATTATCAATGCCCGTAGACTGAAACGACCTGTTGAACCATCGTATCCAATATGAATGCTTGGGGGACAACTCTCCTATATCATGTAAGTGAACGAGCACTGATGTTGCCTCGTGCCACTGTGCCCACCATAGATCAAAACTCTCGTCGTTCTCATTTAAGTGTTGGAACGACCACTTGATTAACATCAATAGGCCCCATAACAGCCTTGCGGGCTCTACATGACAGACAATACCAAGGATCATGGCTAGTGGCAGCGCCGTTTTGGACATCACTACATAAACAGTGATACCATTTTCGACACCCATCACATTGAATCATAGCCCCACGGACTGCACCTAGATCATCGCCAGGTAAAAGACAAATAGCACAATAGACTTCATCCACGCTCTCACATTTTAGGAAATGCCACCGGCACTATGCCGGTACAGTAACCTTACTGCAGTTTCAACCATAATGCAAAAACAACACCGACTAATAGACTAATAGCCTCATCGAAAGCTAATACTATTAATGAGCTATCAGGAATTACGCAATGTCAGAAAAATTTGAAACATTTATGGGCGAGCGCATTCGAGACAGATGTCCAAAGGTAATCGGTGCCACATTCCGACACATCGTAGTCCAGATTACTAAATGTTGTCCAAACATGTCCAATTGATCAGAAAGCTGTCCAAAGGTCGCTACAGGCGTAATTGGACAACTTCTTGATGAAAAAAAAATATTCGACAACTTCATGTCCAAACTACTCACTAGGGTAGTTTTTCGACAAACTGTCCAAAACTTAGTCTTGAGATTCGTTTTGACATCCCTCGCTGTCCAAAGGGCTTTCGACAACTTTATGTCCAAAGTTGATGTGTCCGAAGGTCACGCAATCATAAATTACCGCGAGTGTGGTATAATACCACTGGTATTATAGTTGACTTCTATAAAAGCATACTGTTAGATCTCTAGTGCAAGTGTGGTTGGTATTGGTCACAATGCTTGAGGCAAACTTCCACAATTACGTTGATGGTTGTGTGATTCGGGACAAACTTATGAGATCGTTTCGAGGGTCGTTTCAAACGACTTGTTCGTCATAATATCCAACACCAATTCGAACATGGTGTGGTACTTTAATAAAGAGAGTTAGCAATCGGACCATTGATTTCTTCAGTGAGAACAGCCTTGAAAGTCACTACCGGCGATAATCGTAGTGAAACCAACAACAAAATTCAACACCCAAGAATCAGGCTCTGAATGTCCATGAACACGGTGAAGCTAGCTTCACCATCAAAGTGGGCTATGAAGCCACTAGAGGCCTCTTACAATAGTAACACCAACAATAGTACTGGCCCTATAACCTAGGAGGCCTTTCAAGGAAGAAGCGTTTCCTTATAATTTAGGAGGCAAAGAAACGTGAGGAAGGAGGCTGGGGAACCCACGTAAGTTCCTTAAGGAAGGGGCTAGGAAGCTGCACCTTATAACACTTAGGAGCCGCTCGTCAAGGTCCTTAGCGAAATGACCTTAGGAGCGCAAGGTTGGTCGGACTCACAGGGGTGGATTCAGTGAAGCTCGACGAGACCAGTCCTGGGATCGATCTCGAAGATCAACCGATCCCAGAGTCAGTCTTAGGGGTGGTCCACTGAGCAGATTTTTGCTTCGATCAATCCCGGGATCGATCGTGAGTATCAATGTCGTTTACTGAACCCCCTGATGGGCCCATTGAACGACTTTAACCATTTCATGATTACTAAAGTGTCAGAATAACGAGGTAGTAAGATTGTTCTTGGAAACGAATAATAGTCTATCACTCGATTAAGACGGTTTACAATAGCAAGCAATACATGATTCAATTATCGGGTCTACCTACTCTGATTGCAGTCTTAGTCACACATGCTGCCGTCTGGAGGGACTCCCTGCTGCTGTTCTTTTACACCAAGTGTACAGTGGTGGCCCCTTTCCGAGACGGAGGCGGAAAAATCAGTTGTGCATGACAGCATAATCTATCACTGATGTCAACCAAATTGACTCGGCTTCCCGTTTGCTTTTTTTGTTCAGGCCCTTGGCATGTGCGGCACCATCCCGTCCACTGAATCGGAGTCTTTGAGAGGCTCGAGTACATCAGACACTAATTTTGATATACCCGAATTTGTGATATCGCCAAATCGGTGTTATGTGGCTCAGGACCATACTCCGCGTCTGCTCCACTCCGTTGGGAATCTGGTCGGAGCTGTCCTATTTGGTTAACCCCATCCCCGAGATGTCGATCGCGAGCGCCGTTGTGATCTATTTCTATTGTTCACACGTGCATCATGATGAGCAAGTCATTTAAATCTGCAGGAGTCGTTGAGTTATCAATATAGAGGATTGAATTTCACTCGGTGTAAGATGGATTTTGATATTGCGTGATAGAGCTTTGCAGAGAGTTGTTGCTATTCCCCATCATTTGTTGGTGGTATCATGTCTGAGGAGATCATCTCCACGGATGGTGGGTATCAGATAGTACCAGTAGTTGGAGCTGATGCTGGTGGTATTATAATGATAGCAGGGAAGAGGAGGAAGCGTGATACGCGATGGGGACCCAGGAAGCACATCAAACTGGGCAAACGGTAGTAGCTGGAGTGCGATGGTCCTGGTGCACTTCTGAACTATGTTGGCTGTTAGCTTTGATCAATTACTAGACTACCTGTTTACGATTTCGTGCGACCTTTATATATAGTGTGGACCTCTCAATTGGAACAAAAATCAATTTCATTCAAACTCTTGATCAACGAGTTACTCATCAGTGTGAATCGTGTGCAAGGCAAAGGTCGTTATGTATCATCCGCGTTGGAGCTTGTATACTAATTCTTCAGTTTGTCAACGGTGGATGACAAACCGTATAAGCCGTTGCCTTTGCTGGACGTACCGTGTGGTCTGGGCTGGAAGCAGATCGATCAGATGATGAGAGAGATAAGATTGGAGGACTGTACTAGTGGGGAACCCCATCGGAAGCGGTCATTCGAATCTTTGTAGTGGACAATAAGCTGAGAGCTGAACCGATAAGGTTGGAGTTGGGCGACCCAGATATCCGACCACCGTCTCCACCGCCAACGTGAGTCGTCAAGATGATCTCGGGTGGAGTTGATATAGTGTTATCGTTTTTGAGGTATGACCAACTTGGTACTCGGACGAATGATCGTACTACTAGAGTGAAGAAAGCAATGGAAGGAGAGCATAATAGGCTAGTCCGGTAATCAGGTTGAATCGATCGATACAGGGGAAGGTGTTGAGCGTAGGTATATGATGGCTACTGTGAGAGACTACATACCTCCCGAGACGTGGAACAAGGCTAGGTCGGTCGAGTTTTTGGAAGGGCGTAAGGCATTGTGCTTGGCAGGTTGGTACGGAAGATCATCATACCGCAGAAAAAATATCCCGACGTACCGTTCATGGCGATCATCGTGGGCGCACGAGGAACTAACCATAAGCGTTTACAGGTGACTTGATGGGAATGTCAAGATTGGGTGGACTCGTTTGATGTTCAGATGGAGTCGGGGTGTCGTATTGAGATTCGAGGGAAGGGAATCAACGCGATGAATCAGACCATAGAAGAGCAGAATATGCCTCAACACGTTCATATCGAGGGTAAGATATGTTTATGTGCACTTTTGCTATACCACTCCTCTGTGAATTCATCTTACGAATTAGGCGATACTGAAGTCAACTTGATCAAGGCAACTGCTTTATTGGAACCATTGTTGGACCCGACCCACCCTGACTTTGCCAGAGCTAGAGCCCTTGGTAAGGGGAGTTGGTGAACTCGGGAGGGAAGTAGCATATCGCATATCAGGTTTGGAGCAGTTGGCTGTGGTGAATGGTTATACCACTCAAGTGCAGCACATACGTTGTGGCCTATGCCAGGCTATGGGCCACCATGCAAGCCAGTGCCCAGAGTAGGTGGAGGTAGATTGGTCTGACGGGTATAGTGTAACAGGTTCAACAATGTGGAGATGTCGTATAAGATGGCTGATGTTAAGTGCGATATCTGTGGGGATAAGGGGCATGCTACTATTGACTGTACGAGGAAGTGCTCTAACAATGGGTCGTTGAGGCGGTGTCGGTATTAGGTCCTCAAAAGGGCACGGCTCAGCAGAAATCTAAGGAGTGGCGAGAGGAGGCTGAGGAGAGGGCTAAGGTAGTAGAGTAGGGCTTTGGACAATTACTGATCTATATGGTTGAGTACCACACTGTACATTGGTGATGATGGAAAGCCTGTGTGTGATTGATTCGCTGGTAGGTTGATCAAGAATACGCCGACCTTATCAACAACCTAGCTGAAGAAAATGATCCTCTGAAGTCTGGAGGCCTGCAGGTGATAAGGTTGTGCGAATACTAGTGGTAGTAGTAGTGGTAGTAGTAGTAGTAGTATTGGCAGTAGTAGTAGTAGTAGTAGTGGTAGTAGTAGTAGTAGTAGTAGTAGTAGTAGTAGTAGTAGTAGTAGTAGTAGTAGTAGTAGTAGTAGTAGTTGTAGTAGTAGTAGTGGCAGTAGTAGTAGTAGTGGTATTAGCAGTAGTAGTAGTAGTGGTAGTAGTTGTAGTAGTAGTACATGGCACATGCGGTCTCAGAGAAATTTGGTCTATGTGAATCTTGTCGTTTTAGAATGGCTCTACAGGATCGATTGAAGAGGATGGGAACGAGATTCTGATTCCCTTCAAGGACGTTGGTGAGTGGTTTGAGGTGGAGAGGAAGGGTTTAGAGTAGGTTGAGCTGTGTTCGCAGGTGCATTTATCGGACCACAGGGAAGTAATGTGAAACTACTAGAAGGAGAAACAGGTTGCCAAGTACATGTTGGTAATAATGGTGCTCAGTTTGGGAAAATATGCATGTGTTGGCGACAACGCGAAAATTCTGAGGAAAATTCGGGAAATTGTTGTTGATTTCTGAACACTTCTACCCGAATTCGTGAATAAGCTCCTACAGAGCTCCGCTGAAGAAAGCGAACATATTTTCGTAGTGACATTTCACTCGAACACTCCCGTGCCATACAGTCTTCAAAATGATCAAAAATACTATTGGAAATACGACTTCTCTAATATTCGACTCGCAGTTTTCAGAGTAAAAATATGAGTTCATACGTTGAACGTATGCACTTTTATTTTTACTATTACGTTCTATCGATTTTACCATTACTATTTTGCTTTTGTTTTACGTATTACATTCGCAGTGAAAATAATTTGCTCATCCAAGGATGGTTTGTAGCGTTATGGTAACGCTTTTCCCGTTCTTGGCAATGACCGAAAGATGAGGGCCGAAATTTACGCGTTATAGCTAATGGGATATTAGAAGGCATATGCTCGAGGTCCACTCAACCTAGTCTTAGAGGGATTTGCGAAAAACGAGATGTTCTTAGGTCATTTTTTGGAGGAGTGTTGTCGCCTGAATTGGCACGTTTCTAGCGATGAGATTTCTATGGGGCTCAGCGGTTCTGCTTCAGATCAGTCTAACAAGGACGCAAGAAACTGTCCAGTCCAGATCACTGGTCCGGCTGGCGCTATCGAGCAAGCTAAGGAGAAAATACGGGAATGGTTGAAGAAGTAGGTTTGGTTGGGGTTGCCCGATCGGCGACATTTTATCTCATTTTTAGTCGCGAGGCAGGAGCTAATGCGCAGATCCCTATGGTGGGTAGATTTGATCAAGGTGTGGTATGAATTGGTTGTTCTCAGGTGCTCGGAGTACCTGGAGATGAGGAACCTATTCGTTTGCCTGCGACACTCGTTGGTGAGTCGTAAGTGTCACTGGGCTGCCGTATATCATATTTTTCCGTAGGTGTATTCATTGGTCATAATAGTCAGAACTTGAAGGCTCTGGAGCGGGACTTGGGTGTTGGTCTTATGCTCGGTAGTTTACACCTTGCATATCTGCTCTTCTTTATCTGGATCACATCTCTGCCCCTCGACCCTTAAAGTGGATGTGTCTATGTGTTACACTTTCCTGCTTGGACTTTTGCGAGTTCTCCGTTT